GTGGGGAGGGGGGTGAAGGCTGAAGATCTAGGCTGGGGCAGGGGAGAAAAAGTGTTAAAAGATGCATGAAGTTGAATTTCACCAACTTACCTATGTGCCTGGAGATGGCTCCTCTTGAATAGGAAATGAAAGTTTTCAAGCTCACCAGCAGGGATAACCCCTCTCTACATACTCTGCTTTCTTTTTAACAGAAATATTATTTTTAGTCTATTATGTAAGTGCAGCATCTAAACTTGGTAACTTCCCATTTATGGAGAACTTATTATATCTCAGGCATGTGCTAGGCATTTTACATGTCATTTAATCCTCATAATTGTCACATTAGTATTCCATTCTTCAAAGACAGACTTTGAAGCCCAGAGAGGTTGAGTAACTTGTCTTGAGTCACACAGAGTAAAACTTGCAGAGCTGGGATGCTAGTCCAGGCCTGGCTGGCCCCAGAGCTGCAGAGTCTTCATCTCTCTGTCACACGGCCTGTGCAGAGTAACAAGCCCAGACACAGTCACCTTCCAATGAAAGTGGCTCCAACCTCTGTCATCCTCATGAAAACCTCAGGCGTCATGATTTCTAAACAACAGCATCCTAAAACCCAGGACCTGGCTATGGAGCTCAAAGCCCCTCTCTATGGTTGGAGCTCTGGGTGGCCTAGAACATACTCTAGAGGAAGTCTAGCCACTCTTCGAAGAATTTTAAAGGGTAAGAGAATAAAAAAAAAAAAAAAAGGGACCAGTTGCTTGAGCTGAGAATACTGTCTCCAGAGGGCCTGAGACCTTTGGGAGAGGTGCATGTGGGGGGAGTGTTTATGGAAGGATGAAGGTCTCCCCCATTCTGCAGGCTAAAGAAATAATAAATCATATTATTCAGTGCAACTGTGAGATAAAAAAATGCTGGGTAATTAAACGTTTTGGCTAATATAGATTTTATGACCTATTTGGTAAGTGGTCCACCCATTTTAAGAGAGTTAATACATTTCCAGCATTAAAACTCCATTTGACATACTGTAATTTGACTTTGATGATGACCAGGACACTTCAAAGACTTTGGCTGACGGAGTGTGGTAAATATGGCAGGACAGATACAATGGGAAGACTTAAGGAAAGGCCCTGAATTTGTAAACGAGGACTCTGGCTTCCATGAGCCATTGCAGTGCTTGATATATGGCTGGACGTGATGAATGCTGTGTTTTAGAGAAATCAATTTGGTAATGGGGTTCAGGGAAGATTGGTGAAGTGGCTAATGCAAGAAAAGCAGCAACAAAGTAGTTGCAGTAACCAAGGCATGGAGTGACTGTGGTGGTGTTAGAGACAACAGGGGAAAAACAATTTTGAGTTGTTTTGGTGTCCAAGTACAGGTCACAAAGAAAAGGGGAGGGGGCGAAGGGTGGTTCAGGATTTTGAGGCTCGTTTCTTAGGAAGCAAGTAGGCCCAGGTTAGAAAGCTTTAGAGGCTCTCACTCTGGCCCCACTCCAGCCGTGTTCCTCCCTCCAGATGAGGCATTTGTGAGGTCAAGGAGCTATGGCTACCCAGAGACTGTAACCCTCACCCTTTCTAGAATATGCTAGATGCCTGGGAACTAGAATTCACTGTCCAAACATCCAAGCCTATCTCCTGAACCTGCATGGGATTCCTCCCTGGGTCCGTTCTCCCAAGGGTCAATGGCACTGCTGGTATGTGTACCCTAGGCCTGAGCAGTGGCCAAAGGGCAGTAGTTTGTAGGGGGTCATGGGCGGGTGGAGATTGGATTTCCTGACTATGTTGTCCACACATATTCATGCATGGCCTCTGCAGTGCAGGGTGAAGTCTGGGGTGGAAAGAACTGAGGGAAGGCCATAGGCAGTGGTCAGGGCCGTCTCTCCCAGTAGTATCAAGTTCTGGCATGGAACTATGAGTCCAAGAAATCTAAAAATCCTCGCCTTCCGGGTCATCCTAATAACAGTATATTTGTAAGGTAGGAAGACAGACATTTTATTTAGCAGTTTATTGGCTTTGTTTATAACTTTAAAATTTATTATTATTATTCTTTTTTGGCAGCTGGCCAGTACAGGGATCAAATCCTGGACCTTGGTGTCATCAGCACAAAACTCTAACCAAGTTAGCTAACTGGCCAGCCTATAACTTTTAAATATTTAGACATACAGTAGACATTTAGACATATGGCTCTCATTTGTACTCTTGCCTTACAACTATCACACGTGAGACTGCTTTTTAGCCAAACATATTCCTTATTTAGTTTCTCAGTATGACTCTTCTCTAAATCTTCTCTTTGCTGAGGGCTTACCTCTTAGGTTGTCCCTTATAAATATCCAAATCAGTTCTTTTGTTAATTGGCTTGCCAGTTTTTTGTTTCTTTGTTTGTTATTAATTTGTAATTCTTTTTATATCCCAAAATGAGTCCTTTGTCAGATATGTATAAGTACATCTACACATATACACATATATCAGATATCTTGTCCTACTCTATGGCTTGCCTTTCTTTTTCTTTTTCTTTTTTTCTTTTCATTCTCTTGATGGTGTCTTTTAATAGATGAAAATTTTAATCCTAAGGTTGCCAGTTCATGAAGTTTTTCCTTTATTCATAGAGATTTTTGTGTCCTCTTTAAGAAATCTTTACTTAGTGTTAGATCATAAAAATTTTTCTCCTGTTTTCTTCTAAAAGCTTTATTGCTTTACCTTTCACATTTAGATGTATTAGATCATAATGCATCTGCAACTGATTTTTGTGTAAAGCCTGTCGAAGGGATCAAGATTAATTTTGTTTTCCATATGGATATGCATTGACTCAGCTCCATCTATTAGAAAAGACCATCCTTTCCTCCACTAATCTGCAATGTCACCTTTGTTATAAACCACGTGACCATAGATATGTGGGTCTCTTTACATTGGCCTGTTTGTCTTTCCTTATGTCAAAAATCACACTTTCTTAATTACAATAGCTTTGTACTTAAATACCATAACTTTTTTTTTTTTCCTTTTTGTCTTTTTTCATGTCCGGCAACGGATCGCAACCCTCAGTGTCACGCCCGTATAAATACCATAACTTTTATAGCTACGTCTCAATATCTGGTAGTGTAAGTCCTTCAACAATCTTCTTCAAGACTGCCTTTGCTATTCTTGGTCATTTGCATTTCTGTGTAAATTTTAGAATTGCCTGATCAATTTCCATGGATAGCTCTGCAGAGATTTTGTTTGGAATTGTATTGAATCTACACATCAATTTGGCAAGAATTGACACTTTTAACAACTTTGAGTCTTCCAATCACAAACGTGGTATATTCTTTCATTTATTCTGTGCTCCAAAAATTTCTTAGTTACATTTTGTAGTTTTTGGTGTAGAGGTCTTGCACATTTTTCATTAGATAGTCATAAGTATTTGACATTTATTTATGCTATTGTAAATTGTGTCTTTTTAAAATTTCATTTTCTATTTCTTTGTTGTTGACACATGGAATTACAATTGATGTCTGTATGTTAACCTTGTATCTAGTGACTTTGCTATACTCAGTTATTCATTCAAATTGTGGATTTTTTAGGATTTACTATGTATACAACCATGTCATCTGTGAAAAATTACAGTTTTATTTATTTTTTCAAATTTTGCCTTGCTGAACTGGCTATTTGATGTTATTATAAATGAAATTGTTTTCTTAATTTCCCTTTCAAATTGCTCTGCAACTTTGCTGGATTTATTTATTAGTTCTAACATTTTTTCTTTGGTGTGTGTAATCTTTAGGTTTTTTTGTTTGTTTCTTAGGGTTTGCTACATATATGTCACCTGTGAACAGAATCAATCTCTTTAATATATATGGTATTATTCAGATTTTTTATTTTCTGTATTTTTTTGGCAAACTAGGTTTTTTAAGGAAGTTGTCTATTTTGTTCAACTGTTTAATTCATTGGCAAAAATTGTTTATAGTATCTTAATCTTTTTAATACCTTCAGGATATCTAGTGATGTTCCTTTTTTCATTTTAATATTGATTATTTGTGCTTCCTTTTATTGGTTGGTCTTGAATGCTTAACAATTTAAATAGTCTTTTAAAAAAGCCTTCTTTGGCTTTACTGATTTCTTTATTGTATATTTATTTCCTATTTCCTTGGGTTTTCCCCTTATTGTTTCTTTTCTTCCATTTACTTTGGGTTTCATTTGTTATTCCTTTTCAAATTTTATGAGATGGAAGCTTAGATCATTGATTTTCAGTCTTTCTTCTTTTTCTAATATATGTAATTTAGGTTGTAAATTTCCGCTTCAATGGAGTAATCCTGTTGGGCCAAGCCTGGATATTCATTTTCCTGTGCCCACAATGGGCAGAGTTAATCCCACCAAAGCCACATAAAAATGGGTTCCAAGGGAAAAGATGAGTGCTGTTATCAAAAAGAGGGGATAAAGAGTACTGTACAAAAACTAAAAGTAAAATAAACAAAATAATGCTCACTGCAAAATGAGAAAAAGGAGAAAAGTAACCACTGGATTTGGAAATTCAGAGGTCACTGGTGTCCCTAATGAGATCCATGGCTGTGGTGTGGAGAGAGAGAAGCCAACTACGGTGCAGGAGGAATGAGTGGATGGAGGAATGATGGGTCATGGTGAGAGTGGATGTCACTTTAAAGATGATCAGCTGTGATGAGCAGCAGAAAGTGCCCCTGGCTTGGGTTCCCCTAAAAGGTGGCCCTGGAACAAGGAGTTGAGTGCAAGTCGTTTATTTGAGAGGTAATCCCAAAAAACATCTGTAGACGTGTGGGGTAGTGGGTGAGTCAGGGTAAGGAGGCCAACATAAGGTGCATTGATGAGCAAGTTACAGCTGTGGACAAGTGGAGCTCCACCCTGCAGAGAGCCACTGAAACAGCCTAGGATATCGGCCTCCCTGCAGATTCACTGGAGGTGTGTGGTACCCAGTGCATTACCGCCCAACTTTTGTACCTCACTGATGGAAGGAACGTACGCACCCGGCGCCTCTGGGCCTGCCTCCTTCCCGCTCTGAGCAAGCTCCCGCGGCAGCTAGTGATGCATGCCCGCGGGTGCAGGCGGGTGCGCAACAGCGGCGAGTCCCGCCCCACCGAGTAGGGGCGGGGGAGCGAGAGGAAGGCGCTTTCCCAGCACGCGCGGTGGACACCGTGAGCACCGGGAGAACAGGCTGGGCAGGGGTCCCAGGGTGTTCTTTCTCTGAGTAGCACAAGATGTGAGGCCCATGGCTGACCTGGGTCATTTATGAGGGAATCTAGGAAGTTTTGCGGGAAACCTAATAGTCATTGTTCTCTCTGTGTCCCTCAAAATGCACCACAAACGGTCTTCTAAGACTGGGCTATCGGGACCGAAGGGACTTCAAAGTCCCACTGCCCCCACTCGGAGGGCGCAGTCACAGTCTGGAGCAGGAAAGCGAGTTGCCCAACGTCGGGAAACGGCGGGACGGGGAGCGGAGTCCAGGGCTCCCCGGGGTTTGTGCCGCACGGTCCCTCCAAGCAGAGTCTGAAGTCACCGCCCCTCCCGGGCCTGGCGCCACCCAGCGGGTCTCGGCAGACGACGCGAGCCCTCGACCCCAGCCAAACCTGCCCCTCGGGGCGCGCGAGCCCTCAGCGGTCGGCAGGCGCCGAGGGAGGGGAGCGCACGGCCCGCGGCCGCACGACGGGGCCTACAGCTGTTTGGTTTCGCCCAGAAAACCCCCTCTCGGAACAGGTGGAAGCGCCGGGGCGAGCCGGAAAGGGATCTTCCGCCGCCC